CGGTCGAGCATTCACTGCAAGCCCGGACAACAATTAGAGCCTGTAAACGTCGAGCATTAGGACAAGGAAGCCGTCCAAAATTGACCCAAAATCTACAAGCACACATACACATATGTATATTGTAAAATGTGTCAGGCATTTGCAAGGGATGTGAGGAGGGGATCTGTTCGGTTATGTATATGGCATGACTGTCATTTGCTTTATGCGCGCCGAAATATTCATGATTGTAGTTAACAAGGACAATTATGATTGATTTATGTGCAGGGTTATGCGCGTGCCATCGTCCTGGCCATTAGTTTGAGCCATGGCAACTGAGCAACTAAGTTAAGCTTTATGTCAGGTAGCTTAAGCTTAAAGTTCTACATAATGTCAACCATGCATTAAACTTAGCCATCATTTCAAGACAATGTGCTCATAAAAATTATGACTTTTATTAGGCCTCCCGACGATGCATAAAACTTTGAGTGTCTCGTTAAATGCGCAACCCAAAAACAAAGCCACATGATAGTGCCAACTATGATGATATGAAGAAGGCGAATTAATATTGCAAGTTTGTGTATAAGTGGCATGTGTGTCTGTGTGTGTTTTTAACTTATAACATAAACATAACATTTAATTAGATTGCTTATACGCAACCGAAGACGCCACCGCTGCAGGAAATCAAATGCCAAAACACAACTCATTTACATTTTGCTCAAATATTCGAATGTTGGGGCAGGTGCTTTACCATGGTGTTAACCTATAAACCTTTATTGTTTTAATTTTGTTATTGCTTATGTAAATGTGGTAAAGGAGCTCATGTCGAAGAAGGACTCGGTAGGCAGAGCAGATTACTCAACTAAGGCGATAAAAGCAGCATAAAATTACTTAACAATTGAAGGTGCTTGTCGTATATGTAAAATATTATACTTAATTAGTAAGTACTCCTTCGACATCTTTCCGTTCTCTCTGGTGTCAAAGGATAATGTAATTCAGCAAATCTTTTTTTTATTGCTCATTGCCCATAATCACTTTTGCTCTTTTTTACTCATTTATTACGTCACTAATCCCACCGGTCATTGGCCTTAATAAGTATAATATCCACACGCACCTGACCTGGTTAATTTGTATATATGTAAATGTTGATTATTTCATTTATTTCCGGTTCCTTTGGCCAGTTCAATTTTTGTCGACCGCTGTGCACATTTTAATCCGATTGTTTTCAATTATTTCTAAACCTGTTTGGCTGCCCCCCCTGTGTGCTCGGCGGGTGTCCTGGCGCCCAAGTCGCTCGTTATGCATAATTAAATTAGAGCAACAACAATAACATGAGTAGAAGGAGCCACGCCATCGACAACAGCCAGAGCAAAGAGATTATTAAAATGTTTACGTGCAACATGAACGAGTAGTGGGGCAGCAAATATAACAACAGTTGTTGCCACTGCAATGATGCAATTGTAATTGTATGTCCACGAACTTTGCGTTAAACGTTGTTTCCCATTGGAAAATGCAATTTATAATTTGTACAACATATAAACTAAGAGCCGTGACATTTATCGGTGCTAAGCAAAAGCCGTTGGCCTTTAAGTTGCAAGACCAACCCTTTTGGTCGGATTTTGGATTGAGGCAACCATTGTCGTTTGATACAATCGATGCCGTTTATCTTCTGATTTGTTGCCAAACGAAGCAAAACAAATCACTTGGTCGAACGGCTGCTGCTCCGTCTGGCAAACTAACAACTTCGCTTACATAAGCTACATGAAAGCTGAGTCCTGCACAGAGTAGTAGCTACAGCTTTAAGCGTAGTAGCTGATTTGACGAGATTTGCGCCGCTGATGCTGCTGCTACTGCTGCTGCCGCTAGGTTCACTGCAAATGAATTGTTGCCATTTTTCAGGCATCCTTGGCGCTTGACAAACCCTATGCGAGCCGCATAGTAGCTGGCAATAAAGACAACAAATAAATGGCACCAAGGACAAAAGGCGAACGCATTGGAATTTTGGTAGGCAACACGCCGCCTTGTGTTAACAATAAAAGCACGCCCCACAAAAAAGGTACAAATGTTGCTGAAATTTATTAGCACGCATTAACCAGCACACACGTACACATGCAACGACAAGGATACACACATATAGAAATTTAGAAATATATATATATATATATATATATATTTATATATGCTTACATGGCTTTCACAATTGTTTTGTCTTCCTGGCGGACAAACTTCTTGCCCTTTTTATTATATGCTTTCGCAGATTCCATGCCTTGAAGTTAATCAGGATTTGTGTTGCCTTTTTAAGATAAATTAATTTGTGATCTGACTTCGGGCAACTCCATTGAAATTTGCATAAATATCGTTTGCCGTGGGTTGCATGTAAATCTAAGCAGGAAACATAAAAATTCTATAGCCTGTCAAATTAAGTAGGGCTCTGAGCAACTAACATTAAACTATGCACTCGATAAGTAACCAAACAATACAAAAAAAGGCAAAATTATAACCCACCCCCCCACAACACACACAAACACTGGCAAACTACAAAACTCTATTATTTCAGTACATTAACTTTGGATTTATTGTTTATGGCGGAACAGAGCTACACGCATATACATATGTGGGCAGACACTGGCGCAATTTGTCACTCAGTCAATGGTCGCAAGCGAATACGACTGCCTTAGAGCCAAGAAGTTTGGTTCTTTACTCCAAGCTGTAGCATATAGAGTTTGAAAAAAAAGAGAAAAGAAAAAATGTTAGAAAGCCAATGGCGCATATAAAGTTACCTACGCACAGAATACTAAATTTCTTGTAATTTTCGTTCACAACATAAGTAAGAACAAAAAGAATTTGTGCATTTAATCAAATAAGTATAAATTTGACTGATTTAAGACTGTACGAAATAAAAATTCCGTTGGTTATACAAACGACGTTCGCGAATATGCAACACTAATTGAAAGCGCATTAATTATTTATGCTCAAATTGAGGTACACACACATTCCAGAATTAGTGACACAACCGCTGGCGTTGTTGTCATAAAATGCATTGTAAATTATGCACATGCGGCATATACGCAATGCGCTATAGTGAGGCAACCGCCAGTTGCCAGATCAATATGTGTGTTTTTCCCTAGACAGATACACATTTAAAAGCATGCACATACAAATATTTATTTTTATTGACTTGTAAGTATTTGCAAAATGTTCCTAGACCAATTTCGCATTGGAAGTCGGCACATCTTTCTTCTTTCTCATTTTCTCCCTTTTTTTTTTTTTTTTTTTTGAATTGCTTTTCGATTTTGCAATGTTTATGATACACATTTTGGCCAAAGCGTCGTAAATCTTTTAAAAACGGCAAATTGCCCATTTTGTGTTAGCATATAAAAATGCTATCCTAGAATAGACGCAGCGCGACGCGGAACCGATCAATAAAACATTTATTTATATTTTTTGCTTGAGTGGTCATAAAAATGCTGCGTATTTGTATGATGACTCCCCAACGCTGCCTAATTAATATCTATGTAGGCATCTACAAATCTTCACCGAGATACACACAACTTTAACTCTAAAGGTTGCCTCAGGGATTTATGGGCTGCAGCTCGCTGTGTCAGTAAATAAAAGTAAAAATGTGGCTAGCGACAGGCCACAGGAAACAAAAACAAGAACAAGAACAGAAAGTTCCACGGAAGTGTCACTTGGTAAGTCGATTGGTTACCAGCCCACACTAGCACAAGGCACTAGCTCGAAACTAGGAGTCCTTCTGCAAGTGTTTGTCTGCTGCTGAGCCTGTATTTATGTAGCGATAAAATTAAATTTATTTTAACGCCAGCCAAATGTGAGCCACACAGACCCACATTGCCCCAGACATTGCCATTGGCAGTGCTTGTGGGCGTATCATGTGCGCACATAGTCAAACATTATCGCGAACTTAGTTGCTAGTTGAAAACTTGGATGCCAATGGCCGGCAACGTTTGTCTATCCTTCCTCCTTTGCAGCAGCAGTGGAAGTTAGCGGAAATCGCTTAAATTTGCTGTAAAAGATGCGAGAGATTTCACAACACAGGCAGGAAAAGCACCTGCGATAAAAGTTTCTGCGCCATTTTCCACTTGCCTTATATCACATTCCGTGTGTGGAGCTCGCTAAACCTGCCACTTTTCCGGGTGGTGTTTGGGCCAACAACACTTCAGTCCGACACTTCCCTACTGCCCGCTGGCCACTGCCACCTCCACCGGCTAATGCAACCCATAAACAAACGCAATGAAATGCCGAATGTAATGCGCCGCAACCACGACACCAAGTGGGCGTATATGGTTAAATCAGTGATCGCTAGATTTTCTGACACCGCAATGCAGAACCAAAAGCAAACAGTCGCTAGTGAGATAAACAGACACATGAATAGTTCGTTTTTGCCAGCTTGGCAAATTTCTACTTAAGGTTTGAAAGAGTGTAAAACGATTTTAAAAGAGAAATTGTGTTTATAAAATACACTGCAATACTGGATTGTTTTTGTTTTGACATAGTTATGGACGTGTATAATTTGGCATTCAAATTTCAGGCGAGCAATATCCTGACAGGAATATTAACCCAATATTGTGTTTGCATATTTTAAAACATTTACTAATTGATTATGAAAGTCGTTTCAGTATTGGCCAATTTAAGCCAGAGAGAAAAGTTTTGCAATTGAATTTCGACCATTACGCATGAAAGTTCGATTATGTATTCATATGAAATTCATTTCGTAGTTGGCCGTTGCTCGAATTTCTCATATTTGTTAATTCATTGCATGTCAAAGCTACTAGCTCCATGCTTCATTAAACAAATGAGCATGGATAGTTGGGACCCGTGATTATTCAATGACAAATACACAATCAACTCATACATTTACTTCTCCTTCTGTATATGAGGTTATAATTCAGTGAGCTTATCGGTTAGCACCACGCTTATAGCACCAAAATAGTAGCTATTAATTAAAAGTCTTAATATGGTAATATATTGATTTTTTTGCGTTTAGATTGATGAGTTAAACGGTAACGCGGTTTATTTTGTATCGGAATTGCCGACGATAAGCTGATAATACACATAACGCAACTGTTCGTGCGTGACTTATAAATATAAATAGGATCAATGGGTTCTTTGTAGTACGCCAATGACAGGCGATAAGTTAGGAACACAGCGAGTCTCCTTCCAACAGGAGCAGAAGCCGAGCCAAGACCCTGACCAGAACAGTTGGCTAAGTCGCAGCCGAAAGAATCAGCCGCAATGGAATGCACTGGGTACTGGTTCGGTCATCTTTATATCTGGCGGCATGAGTCTGGCCTGGGGTGCTGGCTTTGCGTCCCATTCAACTCATCTGGAACTGCTCACGTTGACGGTACACATGCAAGTCTGCTGGTATGCAGCAGCACTCCTTGGAGCCATATTGAGCGCTGCATTGACCCATCGCACTCCGCAGCGCCCGGTTTATGTGAGTAACAGATTGTTGGTGGATTACAAATGGATGACATGACTTCGCCTACAGGTGTTTAGCTCTTGCCTGGTTGTGATCAGTGGTATTCTCTTCTTGTCGATGCCTCTGCAATCGAATGCTATTATAGCGGCCCGCTATTTGGATGGCTTTGCCAATGGCTTGATCTTTGTGCCAATGATGACCTCCGTGGGCGAGCTGTCGGTTTTGGAGACGCGCGGCGTACTGGCCGCTGCTGTGGAACAGTTAAACCACAATTTCGGCATCTTAATCCTCTTAACTTACACGGCCATCTGGCAAAGCGAGTGGAATGTGAATATTCTACCAGATCAAATTCATGGCCTGCTCGACATTCTGTTTGGAGTCGTCGGATTAGCTATGGCCCTCACGTATTGCATCGAGTCACCTGTGTTTCTTCTGCTGCGCCGTAATGAGCAGGCTGCTGTGGCTGCGCTGCGCCATCTGCAACGTCCGTATGTGGTGACGAGCGAGACATTCCTGCTACTGGACGAGCACAAGCGCTACGTTGCGGCCAATCGAGACCTTAGTTGGCCTCAAAGCATACAGCGTGGTCTGGTTCCATTGCTGAAAGTTGGCACACATCGCTCACTGTATGCACTGAGCCTCACACCCATCGTTTGGAGGGCTCTATTCGAAGCAGGCGTGCAGACGGCTCCACATTTTCACACCTGGCCATATGTTGTATTTGGTATATTACGTTGGGGCGGCTGCATCTCTGTTGTCTTCCTAATGGACACTGTCGGCCGCAAAAAGCCCACTCTATTTGGCACTTTTGCTGGCGGCGTCTTTGCCATTTCTTTTGCTTTGGTGCTTGATCGCGGGGGAAGCATGAGCTCTTCGCTAGCTCTTCTATTTTGCTTTCAGTTATTTGCGGGTGTGGCACATGCAGCTTCCTCGGTCTACCTAACAGAGGCATTTCCGCTGGCAGTCAAGCCATATTTTGTGGGAACCACCTATGCTATCGAACTGCTAATCGGAATAAGTTTTTGCAGCTATGTGCCAACAACAGCGGCCATATGCATATATTTTTATACATTGGGAGGCATATCGTTGATCTTCTTCTTGCTGGGCATTTTTTGTTTGCCAGAGACGAAGCTGACAACACCAATGGCGGCGCACTTGAAGATTCGCAAGTGGTTTAATGAGGATTTTTAAAAATATTAGTGTTAAATAAAAATTTAGATAATACTTTGAGAATTCTTAAGTACAGTTAGTACAAATTTCAACTGAGAAACAATCTTTTTATAAATGAAATAATTAATAAATACATTCAGGCCAATGGACTCAAAAATTAATAAATTTGCTTCAAGTCATAAATTGGAAAACAAATATCTGGGTCTATTTTCAAGTTACAATCGATCAACTTGCACTAATGCGCTGACCATGCACTTGATCTTGCTCTAAGAGCCACACACGCACATACATATATCAATGCAGTATGAATACTTTCTCATTGTCTAAATATACTCTTGTAAGATAAAAATAAAGTTTTTATAAACTTATCAGTGTCCCAACAAATTAACCTGCTGTAATCTGACATGACTTATATACCCATCAAACGTTAAAAATATAAAAAATTCTGTAGTCGGGAGAGCTCGACTACGCTACACACTGAACCCAATTGTTAAATATATTCAACTTTTTTATTGCAAAATTTCCCTTTAAAAAATTGTGCACACTCAAAGATAAGGATGTGTGGAAATTCGTACATATACAAACATATACACCCGCAATCGTAGATAACTTAGTTGTTTCTTATCCGATCTTGATGAAATTTTTTCTAATACATATATTAATTAGAGTCGCCCGCCTTTAAAAGTATGACGTTTAATGCTATCGAAATGAAGGCTGATCTCGATCAAATGAAATATAATTGATCTGTCCGGGGTATAAGACTACATTAATCCCAAATTCTTATATTGTTATGGTCTCTGAGCTTCGCGTGTTCACGCAAACCGACAGACAGACATGGCTATATCGACTCGGCTTTTGATCCTGAGCAAGAAAATATATATCCTATAGAGTGAGTATTTTTTTCTTTTTATTTTAAAACAGTAAAGTTTTCGCTATTGCTAAATATACATTCAACAAATTGATCATATTTCATTTTGGTAATATGCTTTTGTCGACTTAGCTAATGTATACGAATAACTTGATAAGTTCTGTTATCACCACTTTGATTTCGAATTTGAAATTACGTTCTTGCATTGTATCCATTTTTGGCGTATCAACTCAGCGATAAGCGGTTATCTCGCTTAGCTCGTCAACCATGAGTTTCCAGGCTTATCAGTCCTAAAGCATTAAAAAGAACTCAACCGTTTGTATGAGCTTTCAGTTACTAGTAGTTGACAGTTGGAGTTGGGTGAAGGAGGACAAGCCCAACTGAAAAATGCAGAACGACAAATATATGGGACCAGAGCCACCAGCATATGGTTTCACATCGGCTCCACCTCAAGCATCACAGAACTACCCACCACAAAATAATCCGCAGTATGGATACCCACCTTCACAAGGATATCCACAGCCCGGATATCCACAGCAAGGATATCCTCCACAAAGTTTTTCACCACCGCCACAGAGCTATGGGCAGCCGCCTCCGCAAAACTATGGTCCACCTCCACCACAAAACTATGGCCCACCTCCTACCACTACCATTATTGTGCAACCTAATGGTTGGTATAGCCGCAACCAGAGGAACAAACCGCAATCAAACGCTGCGGGTGCGGGTAAGTTCAACTGGACGTTTCGAAATAAGTCTGCTGGCCATAAAAAGAACTGCAGCCGATAAGATAGCCTGCGTGAATCAGGCAGTACTTGGTTGGGCTTACAATAAATTGTTTTCGATTAACCGATTACTCTGAAGTCTCCTCAAATTCAATTACCAATCGAAGTTTTCTCATTTCAGCTGCACTCATTTTTCTCACGGGTGGCATGAACATTGCTTGGAGCATGGGATTCCGAGATATTTATCTTCTGTCACTTAATCTGCATACGTGTGTTGCTTGGTTTATTGGTGGTATAATCGGAGCATTGTTAAGCTGCTTTCTAGCCAACAAATTGCCAAAGAAAATTGTTCTGGTTAGCAAATGATTTAATTTCTACACTACAACAGTAATTGTCTCATGCATTTTCTTACTTTCAACAGTGTTTCTGTTCATTACTGGTCATAATCGGTGGAATTGTACTTTCTACCACACGTTTAAACATCCAAGCCATTGAGGCTAGTCTCTATCTCAATGGCATTGCCAATGGATTGGCTTTTGCGCCTACAATGGCACTTGTCGGGGAGGTGGCAGTGTCTTATATGCGCGGTCCAATTGCCGCGTCCATTGAGCAATTCAGCGTCATAACCGGTGTATTTGTGCAAATTATATATTTGACAGCTTGGACCACAAATGACTACTATAATGACTTTACTACCCAGCAAATGCAAGGCACTCTCTCTGCCATCTGTGGACTGATTGCGCTGATCATTGCTGCCCTGCTGTGCATTGAGTCGCCAGTGATAATGCTAGCCAATGGAGAGGAGCAAAAGGCCATCGATGCACTGCGACGTCTACAACGCCCCGCCACGGTGACCAATGAGACATTTGCTCAGCTTGATGAGCATAAGCGTTATCTGGCCCAGAATAAGGAAATGTCGACGGCCCAAAGCATTATCCAGGCATTTCCTGCCTTTGTTCGGCTCTGCTACCTGCGCGCTCTCAATGCCATGAGCCTTTCTGCCTTGGTCTTCTACGCGATGTTTCTGACCCTTTCATACAGCAATATTTTTGGCTACACCTATATATGGCAGTACATTGTTTTTGGAATTAGTCGCTGGCTGGGAACCGCTATCTCTAGTTTTTGCATGGAGTCAGCTGGACGCAAAAAAACAATACTACTGGGCCTTGTGGTCAGCGGTGGCATTGCCTTTGGAATTGCCAATTTAATTTCGTATTACCCCCGCATGAGTACTGATACTTTATTTAGTTTGCTGTGCGTTTATCAGCTTTTTGCAGGCATTGCTTTCACAAGCACCTCTGCCTACATGTCTGAGGCATATCCCCTAGGCGTAAAGCAACACTTTATTGGATCTACCTACATTCTCGAAATGCTGGTCTTCATAATTATAGGATGCGTGGACTATAGTCTAGGAGGACATAAGATATTCTTTTACTCTGTCGGTGGACTATCCATATTTGGGTTCTTGATGGGCATATTCTGCTTGCCAGAGACCCGACGAACCACTCTACGAGAATCACAGGACAAATTTAAGGGTTTCCTGAACAGAGGCTTTTAATTAAGTAAATCAGCTTCTTTGTGAAATATAAATGATCAATGAATTCACAATAAATGCCTCATAAAAATTCGAATTATTTAATTTTAATCCTTTCATTTATATACCAAATTCAATTTCTATACAATCAACACACTGAGTCAGTTTCTATAAAAAGCGTTAAGTGTAATTCAATAATCTATTTCACCATACCTATTACCTGGAAATACTGATCACAACTCAAACGGGGAATACTAAAATATTTAATAAGAGTTGAAACGATGTTATAATGAAATACGTCTATTTGAGAGCCTAGTTCCAATCTATTCGTGACACTATCGAAGCTTTTGGACATGGTCATAACAACAAATATATAACAAAATATCTTATCAATAAAAGCGTGTGGGCGAGTTCCTTAATCAGTATTTATTAGGATGATAAAATAACATTAAAACGCGTTTGTTAGCACGCTGGGTTTTTAGTTACAAAACGTACTCCGACAAAAATAATTGTCGGTGAGCTTAGAAAACAGAATGGAAAAGGACAAATATCTGTTGTCAAAGCCAACGGCATATTGCTTCGCATCAGCACCGCCAGAGACATCACAGCCCAGTGTTTCCCAGCAGGAATATTCTCAATACGGATACCTACAACAAGAATATCCCCAGCAGCCAAATCCAACGCTGAGCTATTCACCCCAACAACAATACAACATACCACTCCCTCCACCAAAATATGAACCACCTCCATCGCACGCACCACCACACAACACTGTCCAAGTGCGACCCAGTGGCTTTTTTAATCGCATCCAAACTAATAGGCCCCAAATGAATGTCTTGAATGCAGGTAAGTTGCTGCTTAGTTATAAAATGTTAACATTATCCGATCAACAAATTGTTCATAAATTTCCGCTTTCCATATAAGATAATTTCTTATTGCTTCACTTTTTTAGCTGCCCTCATTTTCATTTCGGGGGGGATGAACATCGCTTGGAGCATTGGATTCCGTAGTCGCTTATACTATAATATAACCACGCATGTGAGCGTCGCTTGGTTCATTGGCGCCATCATTGGAGCAGCAATCAGCGGTTTTCTGCCCAAATTTTTGCCAAAGAGAGCCATAACGGTAAGCACATTGCTAACTCTTAAATCACCATCAACTCCAATATACAGATTTTCTTTCACAGCTTTTCTGCTCCATGCTGACAATCATTGGTGGCATTGTTAACGCCAGCACCCACTACAATATCAATGCCCTGACGGCAGCGCTCTATATGAATGGCATTGCAAATGGATTGGTATTTGCTCCCACACTGGTGGTTGCTGGAGAGTTGGCCGTGTTCTATATGCGTGGAAAGATTTGCTCATCTACGGAACAGCTGAGCTTCAACTTTGGCATCTTTTTGCAAATCTTGATACACTCAACCAGCTCGGATTCAACATGTCACTACGATGGTTTCAATCCAGATCGCATAAGTGGCATTTTGTCCGCAGTGTTTGGATTTATTGGACTATGCTTAGCCGCTTTGCTGTTCATTGAGTCACCAGTGGCATTGCTGGACATGGGGCTAGAGGATCATGCCACGGATGCGTTGCGTCGCCTGCAACATCCGTTTACTTTTAATGGGGAAACATATGCACAACTGGCGGAGCATAAGCTTTACGTAGCCGAAAACAAGCAGCTGTCATCCGAGCAGAGCGCTGTTGAGGCATGTCCAGCCTTTGTGAAACTCTGCATTCTGCGTGTGCTCAATGCGATGAGCATATCCAGTTTTATTTACTATGCATTGTGGCTTTCCACAGACGATTTTTACAAGGAAAATGAGACGAGGTCGACTTTTCTAATATTTGGCGCCTGTCGGCTGCTGGGCAGTTTTATCACTTCCTTTTTAATGGATTCGATTGGGCGCAAGAAGTCGACACTACTGGGCCTTATAGTTTGCGGCTGCTTGGCAATTGGCATTGGCAATCAATACCACTTTCCTGATTACAAATATGTTGAGCTTTTGCTAGATATCTTCCAGGCATTTGCTGGCGTTGCATTCGCCGCCTCCTCTGCCTACCTGGCCGAGGCCTATCCTTTGAAAGTAAAGCAGCACTTTATTAGCTTCACCTTTATTGTTGAGCTTGTGGTGTTCATTGTAATTACATCTCATGACGTTGTCAATGAGTTCTTCTATGTTATCGGTGGCATTTATATAGCCGTCTTCCTTCTGTCAATTTGGAGCCTGCCAGAGACACGAAGAACCACTTTATTAGAGTCACAGAGAAGATTCCGAGGCTGCTGCGGATCAAAAAGACCTTAAAGGAAAGGAAATCAATAAGAATTTACATTTTCCACATACAGGAATAACTATAGCTTAAGAAAATAATACTGTTTATGAGAGTGTATCTTTTTAAATTAGTAAAATGGATCCACTAAAGTAAAAAAAAAAGAAAAAAGAATTTCAATACCTTTGTTATTCATTTATTTCGGCGACATTGTTGAGTCATTGCTGTTTATGACAGAAATACTAAACAAGTGTTAAAGAGAAACACGGTATGTTAGAGATATAAATGGTTGCACAGAGACAGAGAGAGAGAGAGAGAGAGAGAGAGAGATAGAGAGAGGGAGAGACAGAGAGATAGAGAGAGAGAGAGAGAGAGAGAGAGGACAGAGAGACATGTATAATGAGTAAGCATAGTTTGGAAAATTGCTGAAATAGCTGATTAAAAATTTTCCTCGCCAAACTCAGTCAGTAAATAACATTTATCTATAATTTGCTACACAAAATGTAACATATGCTCTTTGTTATCGTGGTTAGAATCCAATATAATCATTGAAAGATACGTGACGGGCTGATAGGTTGCACTGTGGGCAATGCGATAGCGATAGCACCACCAAATCTATTGACAACTCATGTTTGCCAATCAATGTGCGATAAGAAGCATTTACCTATGGATAAGACAAATACAAACCTGTTCTACATGGAGTCCAAAATGTGTGTAGCTTCATGTAGTACTCTGTTGCGCCTCGACAAGGTTGGACGAAACGAAAGGTTGAAAGAAAATGGAACAAAAAAGCCAATATCAACGAACGGCGTCACAAATCATTGTTGGTTACTCACCACTGCCACAGCCAGATCAGGAGAAAATGTCAAAACGTTATCTACTTTATCACAATCCAGATAGTTGCTGCATTCGTGATACACGCAATCAGCCCCAGGCAAATGCTTTGGGAGCTGGTAAGCATTAAATTAATTCATAATAATGGTAAATTATTATCTCAAACTTTCTTTCTTCGCTTACCTCAAACTTATAGCTGCTTTGATCTTCCTTTCGGGTGGCATGAACTTAGCCTGGAGCATTGGATTTTATAGTCAAACCGATGAGTTAACCCCTTCCATGCATCTTCGCAGCTCCTGGTTCATCGGAGCTATCATCGGTGCTTCACTTGGAGTTCTTGTACACAAGCACCTCACCTACAAATTACTTACAGTAAGCAAAACTATTACATTAAATTGCATATGATTATCGTAACATTTTACTTTTTTCCTGTAGCAACTCAGCTGCCTGCTCGTTTTAATCGGTGGTGTTCTTTTTGCTGTCGGACAGAGTGGAGGGGAGGCTGCTGTGTTGGCAGCACGTTATCTGAATGGCCTGGCGAACGGACTCGTGCTGCCATCCACTCTGGTAATGGCTGGGGAGTTGACAGTGTGTTACAAGCGGGGAAATATCGCCTCATCCATCGAACAAATGTCCAGTACTTTGGGCATATTTATGCAGATCGTTGTCAGCGCCAGTTGGGATATGGATTATGATTTGACCGTGGACCAGCTGCAGGGTGTGTTGTGTGCCCTTTATGGCTTCATTGCATTCTGCCTGGCTACCCGATTCAGCGTAGAGTCACCAGTGCGTCTTCTGGCCCACGGCGAGGAGGAACTGGCCATCGATGCGCTGATTCGCCTGCAAAATCCCAGAGCTGTCACGAAAGAAACCAACGAGCAGCTGACGGAGCACAGTTCCTATATCGCACATAACAAATCGTTAAGCCTAACGGGAGCCTGGTGTCAAGCCCTGCCAGCTTTATTGCGTCTCTGCCTGCTTCGCGCCCTCTATGCAATGAGCACGAGCATCTTGGTCATCTATACGCTAACATTTACCAGCACCAGCGTCTATGGTAGCTCCAGTGGCCCCTATATACTCTTTGGACTACTACGTGTAGCCGGCAGCTTCAGTGGCGCATTTGTTCAGGATACGCTGGGCCGCAAGCTGACCCAGTTAATAGGCTTCATGGTCTGTAGTGGTGCGGCCCTTGGTCTGGCTAGCAGATTTTCGGCAGAGGATTTTGTGAGACTATCAGACTTGAGGATGGCATTATGGCTGCTGCTTATCTTTCAATTCTTTGCGGGACTTGGCTTTGCACCCAGCTCTGTCTATCTCACGGAGGCCTTTCCACTGTCTATAAAGCGTATTTGCATTGCAATCGTGTACATCATGGAGTTGAGCGTACATTTGGCTATTTGCGAAGTGGATCTCAGCGTACATGTTGATGGCATCTATTTCTCTGGCCTTGGCATATTTATGTTGCTGGGCTTCATGTTCAGCCATTGGTATCTGCCAGAGACCAAGTTTTTGACGCTACGCCAGGCACAAGAAAAGTTTCGGGATTTCTCATGATCAACGAGGACTATCATTTAATACTAGCTTATTTAGTCATATACATATATACACTAGCCATATAAACAAATATTTTTGTACATTCTTTTATATATTAAACGACTGATAGCTCGCAAGATCAGCGAGCTTTTAGAATATCGGCGAAAAGCAATCTATGCACACAGTAATATTTTAAAGTAAAATATTTGTATATCGAACTTTAAATCAATAAAATTCACATTATACTGTGTTAAATTAATTTTAAATTGTATAGTCTTATGGTGTTTTACATTTTTTCTCTCAGTGTATGGCGTGAAAAGCGTACCTTCGTATTACCATATTGTTTGGCAGTTATATGGTGTTTTGTGTCCACTCTACCCACTTTTGACGCCTACTATTCAAATTTAATTAATTTATTTATATCCAATAATCATGTTGATAAGAGAGCGCGCAAAAACTTTGCAGCGTTTGTTTGTTTGTTTGTTTGTAGTTGTGTTTATCTTATCAGAGCTTCGAAATTCTCGCTTCAAGCACTTCAGACCACTGTTGTGTGCTTTCTGTTTATCAACTGCAGAGGCAACCGGTCGGTCAGGCGAACAGCAACTGGCCAGCTCTCAAAGGGGAAGTGTATATAAAAGAGCGAAGTCAAAGCTCATAAAATTGACACTCAGTTTGTGAAAATGACGGATACGAAAACAACAAGTGATAAGTGATAAAATAAAAATAGTGCCAAGTGTAAGTGCCAGTGCGTAGCAAACAAGTAAATCAATTGATTTTTGTGAATTGCAATTAGATACTGCCAGAATAAGTGGGAGGTTTTCCAGAATGCCATTGCTGCCGACCATCGAGGAGGAGGGTAAACTGCCCTGGCTACGACTTATGTGGCGCTATCGCCTGCAATTTCAGTCCATGACCGCGGGTATGATCCGACCTAGCTAACTGCACGATCCATTTTCCATCCATATGTATATATATATATATAAATCCTTTAGCTTCGCTAGTGTTTGTGGGCAGCGGAATGCGACTGGCCTGGTCGATATTTGATACGCCCGCGGGCAAATATCTGAACAACTACAGTACACACAATCTGATGATGAGCTGGTTTATTGGTGCCGCTGTCGGTGCTCTGCTGGCGTCGTGTTTTGTGCAGCGCGTTACCAAAAACGTGGCCTACGTAAGTGTGCTGCTGCAGCCATTAGCTGCTTATCTCACATTCATAAAGTGATAAACTTTAATTTGTATTTGCCATTAGCCATTAACTTTAATAATCTTAATGAGAGTTTATTATTATTGCGGGGGATTTTTGGTAAATACCACAGGAAACAAGACAATGACTTCAACTCTCTTTTTCAATACGATCCTAACTAAATTTTCTCTCAAAGAACTGATTTTGTCACAACTCTATTTGCGTGGAAAACGTTTATTCGATAGAGTAGTAACATTTAAATCGAGCCAACAAATTGAAGATATCTTTCACTGGGTACCATCATTTCCAGACCTCCAGTGGATTTCTATTGCTTGTGGCTGGTATATTAAATCTGGTGCTGCCGAGTCACTTCACCACCGCCTGCTACAGCAGTGTGAGCGTCGGCGCTGCCTATGGATTGACCCAGGTGCAGGCACTGGTTACCGGCTCCGAGATGGCCCACAAGTCTATACGCGGCATGCTGCTCAGCTGTGAGAGAATATTTCTCTGGCTGGGCGTTTGCATTCAGGTCTTCTATGCGCGTGTCTGGTACACCGTGGAGCGAGGACACACCATGCACATAGACCAGCTGCATGGCATCTTGCTGGCCGCCTTGGGCGTGGCGGCGGTCATTCTGTCTCTGTCGTATCGCCTGGAATCGCCGCTGTTGCTGCTGCGCCAGGAACGGGACATGGCAGTGGGTGATACACTGAAGCAACTCAATGGTCAGTCGCAGTCGGGCACGGAACTGCTGCGTCTGCGCGAGGATTGCCGACAACTGCACAATACACGCGATTGGGAGCAGTTTACAGATGGTTTATCAGATGATCGCTGGCAACGCTGGCTGCGTTGTCTGCTGCCGCTGCTGAAGGTGCTCTTCCTGCGCTGCTTTGCCACTCTGGCACTATCGTTGCCATACAATCGCGCCTTCCTCGTGGTCAGCTGGCATGGTCTCGAGTGCGATATGAATTGCCTGTATTGGCTGGCATTCTGCGGCCTGCTTGGCAGCGTCGCTGGCGCCCTGCTCGTGGATTGGCAGGGTCGACGCAAACTTTGCTCGTTGTCGCTATTTGTGGCTGGCATTGTGATTGTCATGGTTGGCGGCGTCTTTGAACATCTGGAGTCGGTCAAGAAGACCTACTATGACATCAATCTGCAGGCAATTGCACTGCTCATGCTGCTCTTCGAGGTGATTGTAACAGCAGGCGTGGCTGTGCCCGCTTTAGTCTACACTGCGGAAGCATTCAGCGTGGCCCACAAGGCAAGATGTTTTGGTGCCGTCCTCATCTGCGAGCAGGCGTTGCACCTGGGACTCATGGTGGCCGCCTTCGAGCACAGCTTCAGCGATTCGATCTTCTTTTTCACATTTGGTGGCCTGAGCTTTGCCTTTGGACTGCTCGTCTTCATGCTAATGCCCGAGACGCGGCAGCTAACACTCTACGAGTGCCTGCTTAAGTTTAAAAAAGTTCCTTAGACCTTAACTGTTAAGCGAGTAGCCATCTGGTTACTATCTCTATGTATCTATCCTAAGTTGTATGCATTTATCTCTAATAGCAATTAAACTATCCCTGTATGTGTGTTAATTTTTCAATTTTATTTAATTGTTTTGGGACAGAGCGAACATGGCTACGAAGTAAGTAATATTATCTGAAGAAAAAAACATTTTATAGCAGATCCTTAGCTTTAAAAAGCTTTTATAGCATTCTGTCAAACATTTTATGTACTTGGCTAAAGCTTTATTATGTTTTATGTAGCTTTTGTTGAAGCTTTTTGCTATAACCTGCCGCGGAACTGTTCTCAGTCAGCAGTTTCCAAAACTTTGTCTGGAAAGTGAACCCGAATATACCGTTATTTTCGTTGTAAACAACATTGGTTTTGCTCAGCCGGCATCTGGGCAGCTTTTACTCATTCATAGAGTTGTACAACTTATTGAGATTGTCATTGGGCTCAACTGTCGGTTTGGCGCTTCTGTAAATTGAAGGCGTTCTTCCGACCAGAACTTCACACAGGGCAATCGAAAAATATAAAAAAATAAAGGAGTAAGGGAGAGAGAGACAGAGGGAGAGAGAGCCAGAGGGCGCGAGAGAGAGAGAGAGAGAGATATTGAGAATAAGACGCATGGCAAAAACAGAAATCAAGTTGATGAATATGGCATGTGATGAGATGGGTTTGTATGGCACTCGCAGCAATATCAAAAACAGTTGGGGGTTAACGCATATGCTTAAAGCCAAGTAAAGCTGAGGAGCGCCAAGGAAACAAGCGAAACAACTCCCGGGATAGCTCACTCGAGTACTTTACCATCTAATGATGTGGAAAATTTACTGCTCGCCCACCCAAATATGAAGATATGCTACACATGCGTGCACACATATATAACAAATATATAAAATATATGCACACATCCATCCATATGTGTATATATAAAGATATATAGAAAGTTATTGATATGCAATATTTGTGTTTTTGCTGCAGTCATCTTTATTCCTGGGCACTTAGCGGTCTTGCTTGAAGTGCATACAGTGCCGCTGGCTTCTATATTTATCTATCCTATTTCACTTTGGAAAGGACTTGAGACTTCTGCTCTGCGGTTAATTTGGTTGCCTTTGAGGCTGGAACGAAGATGGCATGCCCACAATTAGCAGTTGAGGCAACAGTCGATACTCACAGGCCAATAACATGCGGCCAGTGTCTGTAATAACAACAGCAACAACAGCAACAGCAATGGCAATGGCAGCAACAACAATAATAACAACAACATAAAAGACTAAAAGTACCCCTGAGGTGGTGCCCGGCTAATTGAAGCCTCGGGAATTGAGTTTAAAGTTATTTAATTTTTAATTGTATTAATTACTGCGAACCAAAAAATATGCAAACTTGTGCCAAATTTGTTTGTTTATGCAGTTGTTGGTGTTGCTGTTGTTTTCTACTGTATTTTTGATGCTCTTCTCTTCATTACCTGCCTCATTTCCCAGCGGTCTTGCCAAAATACTTAAAGTTTAAGCTAATTATGCAGCCTGGGCCGCAAAAGTTGCTACACATAAAAATATACACGATAAGGCATTTAATTAACTAGATGGTACAAGTTTTATAATTGCTTAATGTGCAAACACACTCACACACTCACACACACACACACACACCTGAGCCTCGTGTGCTCTAAAGATAAACTAAAGAAATAAGCAAGTTATTGTCGAGATTTAACATACATATATAACTATTTATACAGAGACTTTAGCTAACCCCATTTTCATATTTATACCAGACAGACATGTTGACATGATAAATAGTTTAATATGTGCCAATAAAACACGTAAATTTTTATTAGTAAGGGTTTTACCAATTTTAAATTGCGTTTTATTCAGTCTAAATTATCGCTGAGAATAAATATGCAGCAGTTTGTTTAACTGAATTACTGTGGCTTATTTGGTCTAAGGCCCTCTGGAAATAAATAGGTATCTTTTATTTTCAGTGCTCGACACGATTGGAATGGTTCAAATTTTCTACAGTTTAGCTCTGAGTAACTTTTTAGTCTGGTTTATTGCCAAAGCAGCTCACTTTTCGGGGCAAAAAGCAAAAAGTAAAGTTTGCCCAGTTTTTTTACTGTGCTATCAGCGCTCAAAGCAAGAGCATCAAAAACAGCTACAAAACATGACTGTGAGCTGGAAATGTAAAAACAGGAGCGACAAAAAGCATACGAAAATACTGAGAACTGGGTACTTTAGGCACTTGCCAGGCGACAGGACATCGAAAACGATGCTGAATATGGGCACAGAGTTGCCATTGTATGTTTCAATTAACTGAAATGGAAAACGACAATCGTAAACATTAACAGCTCGGAGCTGCGTAGCTCATGCTGTGCAACACACACACACAAGCAAACAAACATTCGCCACATGTGGGCGAATCAGCTGGAAGAACAACAAAAATCGAACTAAACAAGAATTGCAGGATTGCAAATCGTTTTATTGTGGCTAAAAAACACGATGACTGGCAGCAGTCAAGAAAATGCATTTCAATAAGCCATGACAACGGTCTAAGCAGCAAAACGAGATAAATGGTGTATGCAACAGAGAGAAAGAGCGAGAGAAAGAGAGAGAGAAAGAGAGAGAGAGAGGGAGAGAGAGGGAGAGAGGGAGGGTGTGTGTGGGTTGTTTGCTGCCGTCGTAAATGAAAAAGCAAACAAACGTAAAATTTTATTTGTGCGCAATTTTCTATAAATTTTCATCGATTGCCATTGGGATATTGGCGACATTTGCGTTTGGCATTTTGCTGCTTACTGTGTCCTTCATACACACAAGCAGCCGAACCAGCACATACCCACAATCCAATACACCCACACACACACATACACACACACATACACACACACACACACACATGCAGAAGTCAAATACTTAACGCAGCTTTTGAGGTGTTCATTCTGCCGCCATAAGATTGGCTGCACTTAGAGTTGTTGCGAACTCAGACGAAATTGAAAAACGCCCGCACACCAAGATTTCCAATCAGCAGGCAATGGCTGACAAAAAAAAAAATGAAGTTTCTATAACAGCACGAACGATAGGCGAATAAATTATGTTCGCTTACCGAGCGCAAAAGTAAAGTACAACCACCGGTAAGGAGTAGCAGCGACAGCAGCAGTAGCAGTAACAGAAGCAGCAGCATGGACATTGGCAACGAATTAATGTCCCAGCATGCCACAAAATGGCCAACATGACGGAATTTATGACTGCCGGAGACAACTCTAAAGTGGCCAACGCTGCGGTGTGACAATAAAATGGCGTCAAATTGCCATAAAAATGAAGCCTCTGGAAGGCAACCCAAATCGTTGGCACAACCACAACCAAAGAAATGCCGCCCATATAAAAGTGAAATAATAAATAAGCACATAAACACTAAAAGTAAGGGGGTAACCGGAGTAAGCAGCAGCCACTGCTACAGCAACAGCTACTAAAGATGATTCTTAGCCAAAGGGTTTCCGGCTGGCAATTTTTGGCTTTGGTCTCATAAATTTGCCAAAACACAAAACATTTTGCACAACTGCACTTCGCAAGCAGCTTTAATCAACTCACCAATGCTACTTTAATAAAGTACCCAAGCAATTTAGGCAGTCGCATGCATTGCGGTACTAAAACTGAAACTTATTTTGATGTCACATAAAAGAGCGAAAGGGAAATAAGAGAGAGAGAGAGAGAGTGAGGGAGATAGATGGCGTACACCTTAGATATCAAAGTGATTTGTTACTCATACAGCTTCTTTAGTTAAGTGAAACAGCTGCCACGCTGTGCGAAATGAATATCATCTAAAAAACCTAAAATTGTCACATATATTTTATATTTTATATTTTCAATTGACGCGTTCAAATCTTTTCTTGGAAATATTATTGATCCAGCCAGCTGTCATAGTCAATTTAAGAAAATAATATTTAAGTTAGCAGCAAAGAAAGTTGAAATTTATTCCGTATAATAGAGTACTACTCGAGCTGTGGACTTATTTTCACTGCAGCAATGTTCAAATATTGAAGAGCACTTTGGCAGCAGCTTTAAATCTGACATTCTACAGTCGAAATTGAGTAAGCTGGCCTTATCCAAGTCAACCTCTTGACTGCTCTATTGCTGTGCAAAATGTCACACAAATCGCATTAAATTTAATTAGCTGACATAAATTTCTGGCACTGAATCGAAATTCGAGGCTGCATCTCAATCTGAATGTGGAGCTGGTGCTGGTTCTGGTGCTGGTGCTGGTGCTGGGTGCTGGTGCTGAGCCTGGGGCTGTGGTCTGGCATTTGCATCAAAGCGAAAAGTAAAGAAAGCACAAAAATCATTCGAGTTGACATTTTTAATGGAAGTGGAAGGGGATAAGGAAGTGGAAGAGGAAGAGGAAGAACTCTGTGTCATTTCACAAAGAGTGTAGACGGGGCCTGTCGGAGCTGAGTGCATGCATTTTCATGACTTATGCAAGTTTTAACGACAGGTGTGCACGTGTCTGTCCTTACAACTTTATGTGTGTGTCTCTGTGTGTGTGTGTGTGTGTGTGTGTGTGTGTCTGTGTGTGTGTATGTGTGTGTGCGCTCGTGTTAAATCAACTGTCACTTCCTGCCGGCAAACTTTGTCCTGCAATTCATAGATCCAGTCGGGCAAAACCAGCCATAGCCTGTCATCTAAGAGCCACTTCGAGCTATGATAGCTGCTTGCATTTCAACCATTTACTTAAGAGTTAACTGCTCTACAAAATATGAGAGTAGTTGAAAAATCAGCCTAGATAACGAACCGGATGCACAGCCAAACTTCTCAATCAACATTTCAAGTCAAGAGAGTTGTGTACTAAATCCTATATACTTGTAATTAAATACGATTCCACTTTTATTCTGTAATTGTAAAGCGGCAAAGGTCACTTTCAATTACTTATTCGAAGAAAGCATTGCAAGTGATTACTTTCTTAAAACTGACAATGGTTCAGTGCTTTGAATATAGTCCCAAGCATTCCGGCATCGATAAAGAAGAAACATTTAAAATTATTACAGCACCTCAATTTCAATCAATGTACTTTAAGCTGCTGAGTGCATATTTATTTTACGCATACCTGT